TATATATATATATATATATGTATATATATATGTATATGTATATATATGTATATATATGTATATATATGTATATATATGTATATGTATGTATGTATGTATATGTATGTATGTAATATGAACATATAAAATGTGTTTTTTTATTTATACTATTTCGTATAGGAATTTTGCATCTATGTCTATAAGTATGAGGGTCCCGTTATTCTCTATTTTTTGGAAGATTTGGTATGAGATTGGCATTATCTATCCTTTGGTAGAATTTCTTGTAAAACAGAAGATCCATTTTTTGCTGGATGTATACATGCATGTTTTATTATCTGAAGGTAGATTTTAAACTACTATTTTTATTTCTTTAATGTTAGGTCTGCCCATGGTTTTCTTTTCTTTCTTTTGAATGAGTTTTACTAAATATTTCTCTAGGAAGTTATTAATTTTGTCAGTACTTTCAATTTTATTAGTAGCATAAGGTTTATCATAAATTCTCTTAATACCTTTAAATTCTGTATTCATTCTCTCTTTTTTTTTTTTTTTTTCGTGACCGGTAAGGGGATCGCAACCCTTGGCTTGGTGTGGTCTGCACCATGCTCAGCCAGCGAGCACACTGGCCATCCCTATGTTGGATCACAACCTGCGGCCTTGGTGCTACAAGTGCTGCACTCCCCTGAGTGAGCCACAGGGCTGGCCCTCATTCTCATTTTGACCTTTCTCTTTTTTTTTTTTTTTTTTTGATAAATCTTGTCAGAGGTATGTGTATTTTATTAGTCTTTTCAAAGAAGCTACTTTTAGCTTTTTCCTATTGCATTGTTGTTTTCTTTAATTTCATTGATCTACTACTGTTTAGTCTCTATTTTTCCTTTTTTAAAAATTCCCTTTGATGGGCTGGCCCATGGCTCATGTGGGAGAGTGTGGTGCTGACAACACCAAGTCAAGGGTTAAGATCCCCTTATCAGTCATCTTTAAAAAAATAAATAAAAATAAAAATTCCCTTTGAGTTTCTCTGTTCTTTTTCTAATTTAAGTTGGGTGCTTAGCTCATTAATTTTCAGACTTTTTTTCTTTTTTCTAAGATACACATTTAAAGGCTATAAATTTTCCTCAAAATTCTCCTTTAGCTTCACTGTATATTTTTTATATGCAGGATTTTATTATTGTCCAATTCTATATATCTTCATATTATAATTTAGAAGTGGTTTACATTTCTTATTATTTAGAATATTTTTAGTGATCTTGTTATTATTGGCTTCTAATCTAATTGTATTGAAGTTAAAGAACATGGTCTGTATAATAAAGATTCGTTGAAATTTGTTCATACTTGTTTTCTGACTAGTATATACTCATTTAGTACATGTTCCATCTATACCTGAGAAAAGTGCATATTCTGTTTATTAGTTGCTGGACTTTCTATATGACTATTAAGATCTTCCACATCTTAATTTTTTTTTTTTTTTTTCTGCCTGATCCATCAATTATGGGGAGAAAAATGTTAAGATATTCCATGATGATTGCATAGTTGTCAATTTCTACTTATAATTCTGTAATTTTTTTCTTTGTATGTTTTCATACTATGTTATTAGTCTTTTTTTAAAAATGTTTTCCCTTTTTTTTTTTTTTTTGTCTGCCTGATCCATCAATTATGGGGAGAAAAATGTTAAGATATTCCATGATGATTGCATAGTTGTCAATTTCTACTTATAATTCTGTAATTTTTTTCTTTGTATGTTTTCATACTATGTTATTAGTGCATGCATGTTTAGAATTATGGTATCTTCCTAGTGAATTGTACATTTTATCTTTATTAGGTGACTCTTTCATCCTTAATAATTATTTGACTTAATATCTTTTGATATAGTTATATAACTATAACAGCTATATGACTATATTATCTATCCTTTAACTTTCAACCTTTCTATATCTTTTTGTTATGTGTCACTTATAAGCAATATATAGGTGGAATTTAAAAAATCCAATTGATGTTTTCTCTTTTAAGTGGTTATGACCAGCCTGTAAACATTTTAATTTCTCAACTTGGGTTTTTCGGGATCATTCAGGTAACCCCAAACTTCTGTGAGTCAGGCTCCTGATAAGGGCTGACTGGAGAGAGTTTGAGAAAGGGGTGTTTACAAAGGCGAAGAGTAGGAAATCAACACAGAACAGTGAAGCACCAGGGCTAGGAACAGGTAGGGAGCTATTACCTCCTCTAGGCTTCAAGTGGCAGGTGGAGGGAGTTGTATCTATTGGAGAGTGTGACCAGAGGCAGAGGAACGCAGACTCTCCGAATCACAGCCAGTACTGGGGTTCTGAATACTAACTCTGCTTCTTTGTGCCCTATGATCTCCTCTAGTGCTTCCCACTGGCCAACCCAAACAGAAGCCAGAGGGAAGGGAGCCTGCCTGATGTGTTCACAGGGGTCAATCTTCCTGGGCACAGAGCAGGACAGAGAATGAGGAGGTATAATCTGGAGGGGCAAAGGCAAAACATCCAGCACAGGAAGTGTTTCTGAATAGTGCTTGATTTTCAGTATTGCCACAGTGCAACTGATCAGTGTTTAACCCAGTAGCACAGTGGTTTCTTAATTCTCTTATTAGAACATCTTGTTATTACCATTTTTCATTTTTAAAATTGCATGCTGGCCAATATCTCACTTTAGTTTATCTTATTTTTTTTCTGTCTTACTTGATTCTAGTCAGTTATTTTTCACATATATTAGTCATCAGTGTATTACCTTATACTAATACCTGTGGAACATAATCCAAAGGGAGAAAGAAGAGCTTACACTTAAGTCATGGGACTAGGCATATGTCCTGAGTCCTGGGTAAAATCCTGGGTCTTCCAGTAATAAGCTGTGACATTAGCTGAGTCATTTTCCTTCTCTGATTCTCAATGTATGTGGTTATTAAGTGGAGATGGAGAAGGGCTCCTTTCTGCTCCACTATTTCATGATTCCTGGAAAACCTACATAGGAGAAGAAGGGCTTTGGACAGGATAGTAATCATATTAGCTCTGGTTAGTTCTGGTCTTTGGCTTCTCTTAATGAATAAGATGGTGGTGATGATGATGATGTTAATATTATTGTTACTACCACTTATTAGGCACTTACCACGTACCAGGAATTTTTACCAAGCACTAAGCAAACATTAGCTCATTAAATTCTTCCCAACGTTCTTTGTGAGAGACATGATTTCCACTTTATAGTTAACAAAACTGAGGCTCAGAGAGATAAATGGCTTGCCTAAGCTCACACAGCTAGTATGAAACAATGCATGGATTTTGAACACAGGCTGGTTTTATTTAAAATTGTGTTCTCAGCACCAAAAATTACCTCCTTTTTGTTGTTGTTGTTATTTTTGCAGTCAGTGTGACTCTGGATCCAGATACTGCTCATCATGAATTAATTCTGTCTGAAGATCGGAGACAGGTGACTCTTGGATGCCCCCAGCAGAATCTCGATGCTTCTTTTAGGAGATTTACGGCCTTCCCCTCTGTCCTGGGCTGTGAGGGCTTCACCTCAGGAAGACAGTACTTCGAAGTGGATGTTGGAGAAGGAACTAGTTGGGGTGTAGGAGTTTGTAGGGAAAATGTGCAGAGAGGTGTTGGCATGAAGCAGAAGCCTCAGTCTGGATTCTGGACCATCAGGCTGAGCAGTAGGGAAGGCTATGTAGCACTTACGTCTCCCCCAACTTCCCTTCAGCTCAGTGAGCAGCCCCTGGTTGTGGGAGTTTTTCTGGACTATGAGGCCGGAATTGTATCCTTTTACAACATGACTACTGGCTCTCACATTTTCACCTTCCCGAAGACCTCCTTCTCTGATACTCTCCGGCCCTATTTCCAGGTTTATCAGTTTTCTCCCTTGTTCCTACCTTCCCCGGATGAGTAAGAAAAAGGAACAAATTCTCCTTCTTGGTTTAGCCAGCACAGAGAATATAACGTAAATCCTATAAGAACAGAAATTTGGTATGTTACCTTCACTGCTATTTCTTTAGTACCTAGAACATGCTGGGCTTTTAGTGGATACTTAATCAATCTGCATTAAGTGAAGGGATCTAAAGACTGAAAATACCACAGGTGGTCTCCCTGAACTGGGGGAAAGCAAGATAACAGAGATGATTGTACATTGTCCTCTCTACCCCTCTTCAGTGGATTCAGGGTTTTGATTTCCAAGGGTTGTTGAGCGATAAGTAGGATGACCCAGAAGTCAGGAGGTCTGTGTTCTTCCAGTTTGTTTGATGCCATTTGAACTCCTGTGCGGGGGATGAGGGAAAGCTGCAATTGCATAAAAGAGCAAGAAAATCAAAAAGCAGTGACTATTTCAGCCACCTATAGGTTTATTAATAATCTAAGCTGCAGTCCTGGGAGCTGCCAGGCCTAGTGAACTCTGCTTGGGAAATAACCAAGTGAAGTGTGAGAGAAGAGACTGGCTTACAATGAGATGCTTCAAATGGAAAGGGGATTATGAGTAGAAACAAATTTTGATGAGGGACTCAGTTCTAAAAAAGTTGATATTTTCCATAACTGTATTAGAGCCAGTTATCTTGAAATATTTTTAAATCTCAGTAAATAGTTATTGCTGGAATGATTGTTGGCAATCTTCATTATGAGTCAGATATGATCAGATAGGCCTTAACTTTGTACATGGGTTTATTCTGAAAAGTAAATTCCTGTCAAACCTAAATTAATCATACCCAAGCGAGCTAATGACAGGACCATAGTGAAGTCAGCCAAACACAAACAACATTAATGATAACAAAAAAAGTCAAAAAATTGCCAAATATTATAATTTATTATTGATATAAAAATTGGTGTTTGCTGATGTTTGAGGTGCTCTGACATCATCTCTTTAAGAGTAGGGGAAATGAAGCAAGAGTTGTTTCTGGATGTTACAGGTATGGTTGGGCCTCCATCTCTACCCAAAGGAAGACACAGAAGAGGTCAGACCATTGTCCATGCTCCCCAGCAAGAGAAGTTCTAGTCATGCTGACAGATACTAGGTTGTAACTAGCAAGTAGTATATGCTACCCCAAATATGCCACTTGGGCATAAGGATTATTTTGAGCTGAAGACAAATGAGAAAAAACATATGCAAGAGCAGCTCCCTGCTTTTCCCCCTGTTGTTGCCTAACAAGAAGACATATATTTGTAAAGGAGTCCCCTCTACCTCCCACCAGGAAGGACAGAAGTTAATCAATCAAAGCTTGTAAAAACTAGCCCTTATCTATCATTAGTTTCCCTATATATTTGCCTTTCTGCAATTTGCCACCCTAGAAACTCAAAGTCTTTGTCCTTGGCATTGTAAATTCTCTAAAAATTTATTGTTCTTTTGTTAAAATGCTACATTAACTCAAGTTCTAACCATTCCTTTGAGTAATTCATCTCTGAGTACTCCCATGTGTATGAATGGTGCACGTTAATAAACTTATATTTTTCTCTTGTTAATCTGTCTTTTGTTATTTTAGTTTACAGGGTCCCAGATAGAAAACCTAAAATGGTAGAAGGAGAAGATTTTTTTGTTTTCATATACAAGGAACCCCAGTCTTGTTTGTTCTCTGCCCCCATAATTCTAGAGCACTAACCCAGTTCTGGGGCCCAGCACCCACTGGATAATGGAGAAACCCTACCTTTCTGCAGGACCAGTGAAGATGCAATCTGGATAATACAAAGCTCTTCTCTACATGTTGGTGTCCTGCAGTCCTGTCTTATCCAAGTGTGATCCTGCCCAGAAAAGGGAGGCCTCCCTAACGTTGGCAGAGCCTAGAAAACTCTGCTCAGAGGAAATTCTATGTCCCTAAACACTTAGATTACTGAACAAGAAAGAATGATTAAAAAAAAAATGTTCAACTAAAAAAGTTTTAAAAAATGAATGGAAACCTTTGGAAACTATAAGGAAGGATATAATAAAGATAAAATTAGAAACCGGGGTGCAGGCAAGTTATAGAAAAGTTAAGTCCTGCTGGTCCTTAGGGGGAAAAATACTACTAAATTAAATAAACCATTGGCTACTCTAATAAAGATTTTAAAAGATACAGAAAAAAATAGAAACATGAAAGAGCATACACTGGAAAAAATGAGAGTAATTTGAAGAATTACATGCAAATAAATTTGAAAACCTTCATTAAAAGACTTTAAAATGACCTAACTAACCCTAGATGGAACAGAAAATCTAAACATACAAATGAATTCAGAAAGTTAGAGTTCCAATTAAATAAGGGGGGGAAAAAAGAAAAGAAAACAAATAACCAGATGGTTTTATGGCTGATTTTTTTTTTTTTAAGGAATAGCAATTCATTGTATCCTTAAAGATTAGATTAAGTTTTATAGAAAATCCAAATGATAGTGGATTCAACAAGTTTATTTCTCTCCCATGTAAATAAAGCATCTAGATGTGGAGGTTCAGGAAGCCCAAAAAGTCCGGGGCTTATATGGCAACTCCACAAAATCACCAGGTTTCTTCCAGCAATTCCTCTACCACTCCTAGGATTCAAGAGAGTTTCTAAAGCTTCAGTCATCATACCTGCATCTCAAGCTGTAGGACAGAGAAAGGGATACAGAAGTAGGACAAAGGGCATGTATGCAACAATTATCTTTTGCTGTAGTTTCCTAAAACCTACCAAACAACTGTTGGGGTTCAGAAAACAATACCGCTAAGACTGGTACATTGACATGCTAAGAGGACTTTGAAGCTGCCTCAGAATCAAGATCCTCTAACCTTGTTCTGTGTTCCCCTCCTGTTTCCTTCTCTCCTATGATGAAGGCTGTTAAGCCTCAACCATCTGGTCCCTCTTTGAGTCCATGTTTTGTATGACTCCCATGCACACATATATATGCATGTAATCAATTTGTTATGCTTTTCTCTTGTTAACCTGTTTTTTTGTTAAGGGGTGTAGGCCGTGACCTTTTACTATGAGAAGGAAAGGGCTCACCCTCTTTCTGCCCCTATACAACCTTCTGCTTCCACTGCATCAGCCAGAAACTTAGTCCATGGCCACAACTAAGGAGTCTGAGAAATGTCATCTTTGTTCAGGGTGGCCAGCTTAAATTAAAGGGTTCCGTATTAAGGAAGAAAGGGAAAATAAACATTGGGTTGACAACTAACAGTCTCCTCCACATTCACATACTATTTAACCTATTTAACTAGTTAAAAGATAAAAAAGATAAGCCTACAAACTCATTGACATAAAAACTTGACAAAGATAACCACTCACCCCAAAAGAAATTAAACCTAACCTAATTGATAACTGTCTTAGCTTTGGCTGCTATAACAAAATACCATGGACTGAGTGACTATAACAACAGAAATTTATTTTTCACAGTACTGGAGTCTGGGAAATCCAAGATTAAGTTACCAGCTGATTTGGTTCCTGGTGACGGCCCTTTCCCAGTTTGCAGATGGCTATCTTGCTGTATCCTCACATGGCAAAGAGAGAGCTAGCTCTCTGTATTCTTCTCATAAGGGCACTAATCCTATCACGAGGACTCCATCTCCAGGACCTCATCTAAACCTAATTACCTGCCAAAGACCCCACCTCCCAACACCATCACATTGGGGGTTAAGGTTTCAACATATGAATTCTGGGAGACACAAACATTTGGTCCATAGCTATAACTATTGAAGCAAACATATTATCTTTGTTACACATAATAGGATTTATCAGTACATTAAAAGAATGATATTGACGGGCCGGCCCGGTGGCGCACTGCTATAGTGCGCCGCTTGGGAAGCGCGGTGGCGCTCCCGCTGAGGGTTCGGATCCCACATACAGACCGGCCGCTCACTGGCTGAACAAGGGGCGGGAGCAACACCGAGGGTTGCGATCCCGTGGCCGGTCCTGGTCCGGTACGGGCGCGACACTGAGGGTTGCGATCCGTTGCCGGTCACGAAAAAAAGACAAAAAAAAAGGGGAAAAAAAAAGAATGATATTGACAAGGAAAGTAATTCAATATTAAATAAGGAGAAACACACATACAATAGTTTGGGCTGGCCGGTTGGCTCAGTTGGTTAGAGCCAGTGTTATACCACCAATGTCAAGGGTTTGGATCCCCATACTGACCAGCCACCAAAACAAAACAATAATTTCAATGAATGGCATCCTCATTAAAAAAAGAAAAGTTAATAAAATAGCTATAAAAGAGATGGCTATATCTTTATCATAAGCATATGTATATATGTATTATGCTTACTAGGGAAATCTACTAGTAGCTTGCCAATGTTACCCACGATTGCCACAATTATTTTCCCTCGTTCTTGAAGTACTAGCCAATGGGTGCAAAGGTGGAGGAGGAGGAGGAAGGAGCAGAAAGAGAAAGTTAATATTCACTGAGTTTTTAAAATATATAACAAATGTTCTAGGTATTTTACATGTAATCCCACCAAGCTATCAGGCAGGTTACTGTTTTCTTTCTTTGCAGAAAAGGAACACAGAAAGACAAACTTGACTAAAATCACACAGCTGTGATATGGTACACTCAGGATAAGATTGTAAAGTTGCAAAATCCAAGATAATCTGCTAAAATTAATAACAATAATAATACTAATAATAGAAGCCAAAAGCTGACTAATTATCAAGAATCACAAAAATCAAGAACTTGGCTATATATTGAAATTTTAAAATTAGGCAATATAAGAAAAGATTCAACATGCAATAAAAACTGAAGATAAAAAATTTTAATTGATCTCTGTTTCTAGCCTAGTTCTGTCATGATCCTATCCTAAGATAGTGTAATCTAAGGATTACGTCTAAAATTAATCACCCTGCCACCCCTTTTTTCTGACAGCCTTATAACTGAAGTCAGACTCCAGCATGGTCCAGGGATCTAATTATAAAGCCAAATCTAGGAGAAAACTTATACACCAAAAATTTGCAAGGTTTTGTCAGTTTATATGAGCAAAAAAAACCCCTGCAGAATATTAGGGGGAATGGATTCTAATAGTTCTAGAAAAGGGAATGAGAAACTCTTTAGGCTGAGCCATTTTTATGGGTATGGCTGCCTTTACCTGAGATCCTGGATTTAATGTACCAGCTCCAACAGTACAGGAGTTGGCCTGGGTGGTTGGTTGATTCTGGTCTCAAAAAAGCAAACAAAATAAAATGTAAGTGTTCCAGTGGCTTAGCGGTTATTCTCTATGGTCTGTGGATAAAGGTTTGAAATGGGTCCCATGATGTCATTAGAGAAGATGGGGGACCCAAGCAACAGCCCTCAAAAGCCAGATGTATGGGCCGGCCTGGTGGCGCACTGCGTTAGTGCGCCGCTTGGGAAGCGCGGCGGCGCTCCCGCCGAGGGTTCAGATCCCACATATAGACCGGTTCCCGCTCACTGGCTGAGCGAGGTGCGGGAGCAACGCCGAGGGTTGCGATCCTGTTGCCGGTCCCGGTCCGGTACGGGGGCGACACTGAGGGTTGCGATCCGTTGCCGGACACAGAAAAAAAAAAAAAAAAAAAAAAAAAAAAAAAAAAGCCAGATGTACTTCCCAGGAGGCAGCAGGTCTAGTGTAGTAGTCTGAAAGGCCTGGCCCCAGGGATTCTTGGCACTAATTAATTGAATAAGCAGCCCCTAGAACTAAGATCTGATGGAACAGCCTACTTGGTCCTATTTAATTGCTTAACAACAACAACAACAAAAATAATCTAGAGCTGGTAAACAAAAGCTTGTCTTTTTGAGTCATTCTCCTAAATTCCAGATCTGAGTCAGTTTATAGACACAGATCCCTACAAGTAAACGGGAACTTGGTATACTTGCAGGAGGTCCTGAGATGACATCATGAGTATCTACTGAAAATCTTCCTCTAAGCCTTCCCTTAAGGAGTATGAAGTCATTTTTAAGGACATGTGGACTGGAAGACAGGAAATACTTAGACCTTTGGGGATTATTGAACCTGTGCCCTAAGTCCCTGTCAGTTCTTGGAAATCAAGGATGTCACTATTGGGATTCTTTAGAGGGGGCCTCAGTTGATAAATGGAGTTTGGACCAGATTCTTCCTCAGAGTTGACCCAATAAGAAACCATCCTGATTTTATTTCCCCAGTTCTTGAATGAACTGGGCAGGCTTAAATTGCAGATGACAGAAGCCACTCTAGTGAAATAGGACCCTACTCTCATGAGTTATCCATTACTAACAGGACTTACAAGGCCCTAGGTGGCCCGGATGCAGGCCCACCCACCCAACCTCATTCCACCCCTCTCTCCAGTCAGCTGCTTCCCTGCTGCCTCATGAAACTTCTCTGAGTTGTGAGTCTGCCCATCTCTCTCCTTTCTAGGACCTTTGCACACGCTCCTTCCTCCCCTTGCAATTGTGTTCCTCCGATCCTTCCTTTAACTAGTTCTCTGATGCTCTGGCTAGCCCCTCAGCTTAGATAATTATTTGCTCAAAAAGGTACTTTTTAACTCCTTAATCTACACTAGGACCTCCAGTGTGATCTTTCATAGCATCTTTGCTTGTCC